TACTTCGCTTTTTGCATGGCGTCGTCGAATTGGGTAAATTTCCAGATAAACTTATCACTGATATGAACATCAGTGGATAGCTGTTGAAGAGACGAGATCAGTGGCTTTACACCAGGGATATTTTCTTCACATTGTTCGTCTCCGTTCGTACTTTCATCTTCCTTAATGTGCTGTGGTCGTATGTAACGAGAGCTTTTTATCTGACGCCCAGGATGCAATTCGCGCCTTGCCTCCGGCGGCGGAAATGGTGGCGCGGTAGGTGTAAGTATCGTCGGCAGTTTTAAAGTTCTTGAAAGACCAGCTTGTACGCCTGTTGCACTTTCTGATGGGCCAGAAAGTTCTAGAAGCTTTTTCTTTACAGCTTCGATTTCATTTTGCAAGTCTTCCGAGATTGTGCGGTTCCTTTCAATCAATTCGTCATACTCTTGTTGCTTTCTTATGTTTAGATTTTCAAGTAGCTTAATCTTTTTATTACTCTCGGCAATTTCAAGCTTGCTTGTCGCCAGCGATGCTTCTAGCTTGCTTATTCGATCGACATTGTCAGACACTGTGCTGTGTAATTCCTCGATGTTGTAATTTCCTGGAGTCGAAGATTCCAGTTCTTCAAGCCTTGCGTTTGCTATGGTGAATTCATTTTCCATGGATCGTAACTTTTTACAAGCCATGTTTAAATGGCTCTCCAAGCATAATTGTAAATGTCGGCCGAGGGCGTTTCTGGGAACCTGGAAGAAAAAGTACATCCCTTTTAAGCGACTTAAAGCAATTTGAATGCCACAAATTTAATGATCGTCTTTACACCCTTAGAGCCTATCCCAACCCCACCGCAATTTTAAAAGGTTTGCTCACCGTATCGCCAACAATGCACAATAATTTCCGTCATATAATGAGCGTGGGATCTCTAGCAACTATTCCACAGCCTCCAATCCTACAATCATGGACAAAAGTCTTGGAACACTATTGCGTTTCTGGGGCGTTTTTCAATTCACACAGGTCCAACCCCTCCCCTCACCCCACAAACAATGTTGGACGCATGTATCCAGAATTTTTTCCGAGTTTCAACTTTGTATAGTTGAGGGGAGGGAGAACTGCAAAAAAAAAAAACGAAAATGATGCACTATTTTAAGAGGGAAATGAGAATTAACAGAAGCATATGAATATTGCAGTACTGTCCCAAGGACTTTTGTGCAGGATTGTAGGCTTATTGAGACACGCTTCCGTGGCCATTTTTAAGGCAAACGGTAAACATCGCTTTTTAACACCTGAGCAAGTGATTTCGTTTACTTGCCGTTTACTGTTTACCATTCCTACCCATGAAACATTAGTCCAATTGAGACAGGCTCATCAACAAAATTTTTTTTCTTAGTTTTCAGGTCCGTCCATTGCCTGATTTTAAAAACTGTTCAATTGCTTGAATCAGACAAGAATTGTTTCATCAATTCTTTTTCATTTAGCGACCATTGTTTGACGGATAGCAGAATCAGTATCATATACTGTTTCTTTACCTTGGCCTGACATCCTATATGTGCATAAGAACAGCTCACTTCAGTAAGACCACAGTCTTTTTCCAGGTGACTGTTTAGCTGAAGTGGAGAACAGAAGAAATAATCGATTAAGTGCACGTTTTTGACGAATAGTTATATCCATACATTAGCTAACAATTGCGCTGTCACATAAATCCAGTCATGACAGCCGGTGACATTTTGCAGAGTAGTGAACACCTTTGCTTAAAATTGGAAAGGATTCCTGTGTAAATTTATGAACATTTTATACAGTAGTGCATGAAAAGACCTGCGATTTCTATGAATTAAAGACTAGTAAAATAATTTAGCACAGAAAAAAGAGAAATACTGCCTGAACTCAGTCGTAATTATCAATTGATTTTTACAAAGTTTATCAAAATCGATCATTTGCGTTACACAGTATCTTCTAATTTTTATAACACGTAATTATCAGTGTTTACTTAGCTGCGATTGAAGAAGGACCTTATCCGCTGCTGTATATACATCGTATATATTTTGCACAAAATGTTGTATACCTCATTTCTGGGAATGTTGTCTTGACCACACCTCTGAAGACAGGTGCACGGAAATCGTTGACAGGAGTTGAAGTGCTCCTGGAAAAAAAAACAACAAACAACAATTTTCAATACCACAGTTACTGAAAAATATGTGGAAGAAATGCTAATACAATTTCATTCCAGAAATTGTCCAGTGTTTAGTAACGTAAAAAGAACTTGTGCATTCACTTTCGGTGAGTGGGTAAACAACATGGTATAGTATGTAACTTCCATTTCTTCATAGTGTCCGCGCATGCAAGACTGTATCAAATTGCAGAAACAAAAATAATAAAAAGATCCTTTCTGCTACTACCAATTTCATCTCAACTGGCTGGAACTTTGACTGGTTCTAGAAAATATATACCTGTTCAAGGCGCCAAATATAGTTTTGCTGGCAGTATTGGCAGGAGATGGTCCTCCGAGGACATTCTTGAGTCAAATGACGTTGAAGATCACTTTTTAACAAGACGACGTCACAGTGATCATTGGTACATCGCACCCGGACAAATAAACAGTTATTTTCATGGGCCTTGAAAAAAAAAGAATAAAAATGAGGTTTAAAAGAGGAAACGCGTGAAAAACAATAAAAAACAAGTATTAAAAACAGTTCTAATTATTCACCTTAATATTTCGTAGCTCACCAATCCACTGACAGCCATAACTTTCGTTTGGACACTTGACTTTGTAGTCCAAAATTTTTCTTTCACTCGCCCGATCGGGGAATATGTCCTAAGTTAAAAAGGAAAGGCAACGTTAAGATAAGCCTCAGTGATTCCCACATGCATATGTCTTAAAACGTCACTCTTACCACAAGTCGACCTCGCGATTTTCACTTTCACAGCAGAGATCGAGCAGAGCGAGTTCTTTAGGCTTCGCGATCGCGAAGCAGTCGAGCGCCGCGACGAAGTCACGAGAGGTCTTTGTTCCGCGGGCCTTATTAAATAGGAGGAAGAATTTTTTTTCGAAAGTCTAGTTATATAAACCCTATTCTAGTCGTACGATTTTGGTTACGTTTGAGACATGTCATCATTTTTTGTTACTAGTGGTAGTGTCTCTCCTGGAACTAGTCTTTTTTGTGTTGTCTGTTCGCCTACCTGCGCACCCAGATCCTCCCTGTCAATTGGACATTCTGGTTTTCTACAAAAAAAAAGTACGAATAAGAAACGAAGAAAAATAAGAAAAGTACTTTCACAATTCGTGGGCTATGCATAGCATTTGGCTCTCAGTTTGCAGAAGTAATGAAATTTTAGTTTTTTCAGCATATAATCATGATTTAAGTTCAAGCCATCGACAATACCGGCAATAAGCTGTCTGGAAATAGGGGTAGCCAGATCCTTTCACTGCTCTGCAAATTTTTAGTATGTCTACGTGTTACCTTCGGAGTTTAAATAGCTGAAGAAGATCCCGTAATTACTGGTCTGTTAAAGGACATTTATAATAATAATAATAATAATATTCTGTGGGACATGCCCATCCACACTGACAGGACCATAGTAGCTACTGAGGCCAGACATTATGCTAAAGAACAAGAAGGTTAAAACCTGCCTTCTCATTGACATGGCTACTCCCCTCGACACCAACACCTCAGTCAAAACCATGGAAAAGCTTTAAAACAAATCGAGGTAGTCTAAGAGTGGATGTGGGGGTTCAAAACAACAACAGTACCGGTGGTTATGGGAGCTCTTGGCACCATCAAGAAGGTCATAAAAAACTACTCCAACAAAATCCCTGGCAACATCAACATACATGAACTCCAGAAAATAACTCTCCTTTCTACAGCCCACCTTCTCAGGCGGGTCCTCTCCATCAAGTAGAAACCCTCTATGCCTCCCAAAGTCCATGGTTTGGACTCGGATGTTGAGGAAGAATCAATCGCAATAGTATATGTTATATAACAATAACAATAAAATGCTTATATACAACATGTTGTCTTTCTTTTCTGCCATTGCATTTTTCTACGAGCAAATCTCCGAATCTCCTTTGATTTATTTCGAGAGCCACTGTCTGCCTGTAATACGCGCTCAAGCTTAGATCCTCAAACTCACACGAGTGTATCCATTACACAAAAGATAGCGTAGCCACTATGGATGTATTGTCCAAATTAACTAAGCGCCAGTGTCGGAAATACCTGACACCGAAATATCCTCAGAAGTGAAAGATCAATCACTTGTTCAGTAAGAAATACTTACGTTTTTATCAGTGTATAAGCAAATAAAAGTATACAGGCAGAATATTACCAACATCTGCAAGTCGTCGCGGCTATAGTACGTGAAATCATGTCAAGGAGAAGATTTGGGTCACTGACTCTTGCTGATGAGCCATAATTTCACTCAAAATGCCCATCCATAACTCGTCTTTATAGTTCCTTCTTCTGTGAGTGGGAAAGTTATCATAAAGACTGAAATTTCCGAACGAAAATCAGTTCTTGTAGAATTGAAACAAAGCTAGGCGTGCCACTGAATAACATTAACTTAATGAAGTAACGTTCTCGAGCATTTTAAGTTTACATGGTGGCATGTAGGTTCTATGACTTACGATACTAAAATGCAGACTGAAGAGCCAAAACGTTACCTTCGCATGCATTCTTCCAAGCAGAGGCGGCAAAACCGATGACCACATCTTGTTTGAACAGGTTCTTTCATCGGACTGCTGCATATTGGACAAGTATCCTCCTCTGCGACAAAGGAAACAAATGTGTAGTCGTATCCAGACATAATGCCGGACTACCGGCCAAGATCGCGGAAGCCTAACTTCCCGATTATACAACCCCGGGGTATACAACTCCTTCGCCTCTGTGAATTGTCTCTGATACTAGCCAAGAAAAGTGGAGCCTACATAGACCGTCATATTCGATTGATTTATAGCAGACTTAATAGTTGAACGTTGTTAACGTATTGAGTCAATAAAATGAAATGGTATTGTCAGACAACCAGAGGTACTTGTCATAAATGCTTAGAATGGATGACCCTTCCGGCTCAAACTGGCGCACGTCACAAGTGGAATATAAGGTTACTGAAGCGATTAAGTTACCAATTATTGATTGAAGACGGAAAGAAAAGGTAAAAGCCTGAGTACCGTAATCAAAAGTGATTTAAAGTTGTTACCTCCCGGTGGTAAATAAAACTCAGTATATAAGTTTTGCGTTTTCAATAATTTTTGGACAAACGAGAAACAGTAAGCAACAAAATAAGCCGTGTCACGCAAACATACATGCATTCTGCAAAAGCAACACGCACAACACGAGCAGCAAACGTAAACTGGAAGAAATATTATAACGTTATCGTTTATAAATCTAAAGTGGAAATTTCCAGTGATGTCTGGGAAATAATGCTGTAATTGAACTTCGGGATTTTAAAAGAAAATGGGGATAAAATTCGGGATGGAAAGTATACACGCCAAATGGGATGTCAAAAATAAGCATCAGTATTACTGGTAATACTAGTCTGCTACACAGCCGTTTTTTGTGTCGTCACGCAACGCTCCTGGAGGAGCGTTGCGTGACCACTGTAAAAACGGCTGTGTGACAGACTATGGTATTACGGGATTGCGCGAAAATTTGGGTCTGGATCACGGGATTGTGGAGACTCTCAATAATTAATCCAGTCACGCGAGTAATTAAATGCGACGCATGACTTGTAATACGATACGGAATTTTCCTGAATCACGCTCGCACTTTTAAAAATGCTTCCTGTTCTTGGGTTATAAAGATGGCGGTGCCTTCGAAGGGTCCAGAACTCGGCGGCTATGATTATGACTTCATTATCAGAGTTCCTGAGGACTGGATATGTCTCGTCTGTCATCTAGCAATGAAAGATCCGGTGCAAATTGTGGGATGTGGTCACCGACTTTGTAATATCTGCATGGAGTCCCTTTTCAGGTAATGACTTGTATTATTCAAACAACGAAAGAACAGTCGAAATAACCGCGTGAATGCGATAAGTCATCGCTGGTGAATGATATCTTGCTCGTGTCTTTATACTTGACGCTCAGGATTGCCACTTTCGATTATTTCTGCTGAAAGAGCGAGGATTAACAACGTGAATATTTTAAAGGATTCTGTAGTTAGTATTTCTTTTCCGGTGCCGAATCATCGTCCTGAATATTTTTATGTGTTTGTGGTCGTTTGTGTTTAGTATCCCAAAGTGTAATCATTCAAATGATGGTCATTGAAAGGAACTTTCCCCGTTGTGCTTCTCATTGTTTCGGTTCGTCTCTGTATTTCTAAACACGCAGTTTACTTTAAACATAATTTGGTCATGATAACCGATGGACCATGCGTTCAAAAATCTTCACTTTGGGCTTCAATTTTTTCCGCAGTCAAGTTTTAATGTCTATTAACTTTTCTGCGTGTAATATTTACTTAATTCCTTAAGGGAATATAATTTGAGTGACTTAAATTAAAGGGAGTGTTGTCAGTGTTCCAGGTCATTCGAACGTTCATAACATAAACTCGCGAACTAATGAATGCTAATCGATATTTCCTCTCATTTGTTGAATTGATTGATGGAGGGTGGTGTTTGGTTTTCTTCTAATTTGAATTTTTATTGTTTAGGCGCCCTTCACCGTCTTGTCCAGCAGACAGGCAGCCATTATCACGCGACAAGGTATTCTGTTTCGTTAGTCATGCAATTTAATTGTAACGCCATCTTGACTCACAGATAACTTTTTTCATGATGCATTAATTTCTATTTTTTAATTGTCATGACAAAAAATGTGCTTCATCAAAAGTGTCCGGAATGAGAGGCAAAGTGTATCATTAGTTGAAGCAGGGAGACAACTACTCTCCCAGTCTCGCACGCACGCACAGCCGTTTTTGAAGTTTCGTCACGCAACGCTCCTCAATTCCGTGTGGGCTTCGTAGGAGATTAGAAGCCAGGAACCGACTATTCTAGGCCTCCATCATTCTATGTTAGGTATTCTCAAACAACCTTCTCCTTAATAATTTGCAGATATTTCCGGACGCCGCTTGCCACCGTAAAATTTTGGATCTGTCCGTGAAGTGTTCATATTTTAGGTGTTCATGGACGGGAGAATTGCGTGACGTGGAGGTACGTATGTCATGCTTTTGTTTCCCTACTATGGAAAGAAAAACACTGTATAAAGCCAAAGACCTGGTTAAACTAGGAGACCTTGTTGCCGAAACATTCTTTTTTGTTGCCGGCATCATCATCACTTTTCGTTAAAGTTCGCGTCAGTGTGGTCAAGTATTACTTAGAGTTGCGCAAAGGTTCTTAAGGTAATTCGCGTCAAATTATAACTTTGCCGACCCAGTATTCCTCTTCACTTAGAATGTCAATCTCTTTCACTTTAAGAAACATCAATCAAGCTGTTCGTTCAAAGTGGTTAATTGTCCAAACGTTGGTTGCAAAGAAAAGCTCACCAAACAGGAGTTGACAATCCACGTGACTTTTGAATGTTCTTGGAGGATAATTAAGTGTGAATATTGTACAGCATCATTTGTCCAGAATCAAAAACAGGTACGATGAAAATTTGTTTCTTGTTTGGTTGTTTTTATGTAGGTAAGGCCCAAGCACGCACTAAAACTTGTTTTCCTGCGCTGTGCGCCTGTGACTGCCGGTTACCTCAACATTGTCCTTAGCGTCTATTCTTTTTCCAATATGACGACGGCAAGAGACTCCAAAGAAGAGTCTTCTCTCTCGCCGTCGCCATATTCCCTACTCCAGAAACTATAAAGAGAATGAGTACAAGCTTTCGGGGCAACGCATTCTGGGATTGTTTGGGAAGACAAGCGTTTATGATTGGTTAATGGTTGCCTGGGATACCATCGGCCAATCATAACTAACGTTTGTCCACCCAAGCTATCCCAGAAATCGTTGCACCGAAAGCTTGTACCCATTCCCCTCATAGTTTCTAGGGTGGAATGAAACACTCGTCGCGTATATGAACCAGGCGAAAACCCTCACCCTTTTCTTACACTGTACGGGTATTTGTAGAAGCATCTGATCCTATCCGCCTAGTTCTTCTTGAATACGTTTTCAGGCTGACTCAAAGAATTATTTATCATCGCAAAACTATGTGCATTAGGAGTGAAACCCTTTAGTTTTAAAAGCCCGAATGGCCGCCGTGACACACTACTTTTAAATCGTCCGCTCGGAATTTCCCGCTTTCGACTTTCTCAAAGAGTATTTGTTCATTTCCTTCCGCAGATCCATCTTGCCACTTGCAGAAAGTTTCCTGTCCAGTGTACTAACAAGTGTGGTGTGAGGGATATCCCAAGGGAAATGGTTCGTTGTTTTTTTGCAAGAATTTCAAATTACAGTACAACTATTGATGGCTCCTCCCCTTGGTATCAACCTTTTGTTCGCCTAATACTTCTCTTTACAGGACATTTCCGAGTTCCAAACCCTCACTTTGAAACTGAGGCCGAGTGCAGTGAAACCTTTCATGTTAAAATGTTTTTTATTTGCATAAGAATATAGAAATGACTGTTATCCACATCGGTTCATTGTCTGTTATTTAGTGTCAGTTTTGTTTGTTATTTGTTTGAAACTCGTGGCTTGACTTGAGGTAACTCGGAAATTTCTTAGCTATTAACAATCATCGCTACATTATAAATATCTTATTATCCACACCCCTCAGAGCTTTTTAGCGATAAAGTTGAATCCCGATTTCTCGAGCCCTCGGTTTTTCTACTGCTTGTAGGGCAGTTTGCCTATTGTAGTATATTCGATGTTGTTGTGTTTTTTTTGGCAGCTTGGGGATCATACCCGTTATGATTGTCCTAAAACTTTGGTTCAGTGCGAGTACAATTCTTTGGGATGCGACGCAGTGGTAAGAATTTTTTTAAAAAAATGTATGCCTCCTTTATTCCATTCAATCTCTGACGGACTGCGACGCGATCGGAAGCTGTCTGCGTCGGACATATTCAGTCGATTTCATGCACAAAAAGACAAATACTCCCATTTAATTGTCGGAATATTTCTTCGTTCGCAGTTTCCACGATCAAGCGCCACATTTCACTCGGAATCTCAAGTTGAACACCATCTCACCCTTGCCCTCCGTGGCCTTGAGTCAACTCAGCACCAGGTCCGCGCGCTTGCAAACCTTGTCAAAGAACAGTCGCAACAGATAAAGAGACTGGAGCAGATGACGGAGAAATATGCGCCGTACATTTGGAAGATAACTGGCTTCCAAGCGGTATACGATAGGGCTGTTACAGGGGAACAAGAGACCCTACTGAGTGAACCGTTTTATTTGTCAAAAAACGGGTACAAGTTACGAATCAAAATGTTACCGAACGGTGGCACCGCTGATCCACCTTCGCATAAGAAATATCATGGGAAATACTTATCGGTCTATATCAAAGTTATTCCCGGTGATTACGATTCAATATTACTCTGGCCTTTTACGGAGAAGATACGTATCACTATAATCGATCAAGCGTCCTGCCAGGGTGACAGAGTAAACATATCAATGGTTGTTGATTTCAAGGATTCTCCCTGGCCCCGCCCTCTGAAGGAAGGAAATCTTGGTTTTGGTTACCCTGGTTTTGTCCCCCAAAATGAATTGCAGACCCGATCATACTTAAAAAACGATAAAATATTCCTCATGGCTAGTAGAGGTTAGCGCAATAAACTCGTAAACACAACAAAGATCCCCCCCCCTGAATCCGGGTAGGAAAAACCCAGGTCCGATTGCCCGAGACAAGTAAACTTTGATCTTGGGCAACTAAACATAGAAGTTTGGTGGCCCAGTGGGCAACTGAAATTAGGCTCAGTAGTCCTGTGAGTCTGTCTGAATTTAGTTGAAGGGAAGAGGATGCTGGTTATAAACTCGCTGATTTTGTACATCAGAAAGTCCTACAGACTCGATCATATTTAAAAAACGATAAGATCCTCATCATGGTTAGTAAAAGTTAGCGCAATAAAATAATCGTGGACTTATCAGCCCGGCCATCCCTAGGATTAACAGCAGTGACAAACCTAGAGCATTTGCACAATGTGTAAATCCGGGAAATATCCATACCCTCCCCACGAAGGACAACAGAAATTCCGAGGGGTGGGGGATCCAAACGGAGACAATTTCCGAGGGGGTTAAGGGGTCCTAAGCAAAAGTGCCCTCTGTCAGGGGGTATGGATGTTTTGTGGAGCTACACTATAAATGAAATGAATCCGAGGGAAAAAGAGCTCAATCACAGGGGGACTGAGGAGCTGACTTTCAAGCGCTTACCCTTCCTCAGAGCGCACCAGAAGATTTATGGTTGTCTGTGGTTTAAATGTAGGTTACACAAAGACGGCGCAATACTCAACCAAGTTCACTTTTGAGTTGTTATTTTTATTCACACTCTATTTCACACACTGCTTTTTACAGTTTGCAACTGGCTATACATGAATTAATCTCATACAACAATTTATCACTGCATTTGGGGTTTGGTATCTTGCACGATACTCGAGATTTTCAAGTACGACAAAGACATGTCACAGCTACCACGATGTCGGAAAGGAAAATTTCCTTGCTTTTAAGTTTTTTTTTCATACTTCTAATTCCTAAATAAGGGGAATACCAAACTAAAAAAAACTTGCACGTAAGAAAACTCAGGGGAGATATGTTACCGGGAAAACTTTGAAGAAGAGGAGAAATGCGTTGTGCACGCTTCATTTTCGGTTAGCGTGATTTTCCTTGGCCCCAGGGTTTTCCCTTAGAAAGCGGGAAAGCCCTGAGGACAAGGCTGAGGGCAAACAGTACGGCCACGCACTCGCGCGGAACACGTGATCCGGTTCCGTGGAATAATGAGGCCTGTTTAATGAGGTACGGTGTCGAGTACAAGTCGTAGCTCGCACAGCTGGAAAGTCTGACCTTATTAGATGGACGCCACCCATCACCGCTTTTTTTTCGATTTTTAACTTCTCCTGGTAATAAAACGTTTGCTGTTTCGATATGGTTTACCGCCATACTTTGGGATCTTTGCACATAAAAATAACTACTGTATGAATAAATTGTGGACGTGTGTGTGTTGTTCTGTCTCAATAATTTGAGATGCAGGGTAGCGACTTGATTCTGAAGACAGGAGAGTTTGCTTCTAGGATAGCAAGGTGCCTGAGTAGCTTTACAATGAACGAGCTGCAACAGCTAGGGTTCCAATACAGCCTCTGTGACGCGCAAGAGCTTCTAAGGGGTGCTGATATCTCACTAAGAGGTGCATAAGGTAACCAAGAAGAGGGCCTACTGCCAGGTTTGGGAGGCTCTTGATTGCTCACGATTGGACAGCCAAAGGACCTTTCACAGAGGAGCTACAACAAGAGGTGCTGATACAGCCCCTGAAGAATAGACAGGGTATCCTAGAGGAGGGTCGGCTGCTTGGATGGTAAGGTTCCTGAGTAAGGTGGGGTGGGCCTGGATACTGTAGCGCTCTTCGTCATCATTAGTGAGATATAGCAGCTCCAGCGCCAGTGAGGCCCATTGTCCTCGTACACACTCTCCATTCAGGCGCCCCACAGGGGCAATAATCTCTTGCTTTGTTAGAACACGGCTGGTGTATGTGCCCTGACAAAAGATAAAAACATATGAGCATTTAAAAAATGATTGCGCCAGAAACCACCTATTTTCCCTACGGTATACATCTTCTTGGAATGATAATGGTTATAAAATCTATTTAAAGGGTTACTTACATTTGCTCCTTCGACATTTTCTCTGACGCTGTCTTTAAGACAGACACCTCGTTAAAACGGACACCCAGAGTTGTTCCCCGCCCGTTCATTACTCCCTTTAGTCAGGAGCCGATTACTGCTTTAGTTGACTCTCTATAAGAGGGATGCCTTGCTAAAACGGACACTTAAAGTTGCTCCCAGCCTGCGTGGCAGCCGTTCAAAAGGAAAGATGAAGGGAACTTGGCCGCGGTAACGCGCGCGAGGGAGTTTCCCTCCCTCCCTCCTCGCGAGCCCCTCGCGTTTCTCTCACGACCAAAATCTCCATTCCCTTCCCCTTCGAACGCCTGCCACGTAGGCTAGCTCCTCAGACATTTTACTTTTCTTTGACAGCTTTCAATAAGACGGACACCTATCGCTTTTTTCCACGGTGTTTGTCTCAGAAAGGGATTCGCATGGACCCAAAGTTAGCCCACTACCGCAATTGCTTTAGCTACGGAAACCTATGTGCCACATCTGAATGAGTACACTGAAATACTGAACAAAGCTGGAGACAATGACACAGAGAATGCTGAATGATTTTTATGAGAAAGCAAATTTTTTTCCTACTTGGCTTTTATCTCTACCCAACGAGAAAAGAAATGGTTTGTCAGCCATGATAGACGTCTGCCAATCACGATCTGTCTCGGAACCTAGGTACCAGTCCCTGTCGTACTCTGTCAAGTACTCTACCAGTTCATCTTCATTGGTCACTTCTCCAAGAACTGCTTCGTCATAAGTTAACTTGAATGCATACCTGTAAAAACGAAGAACACAAAATATTAAGTAGTACAGTAGTAACGATTCTGAGGGCCTGGATTAGGGGTCTTGGAACGAAACAGTTTCTCTGGTAAAATATTCTAAAACAACTTACTACTACACTTAATATAGGCCTCACTAGCTGGGCCCTAAGCCCTCTTCCGATCGCAAAATTATGACACTTCTAGCATTTGATAGCGTGTTTTAAAACGCGTATTAAATAATGAGGCGAATATTAGGCACTCATCGATTGGTCGTTGCCCATAGTCTATTTGAATTCAAACACATGGATGACGTCACGGGAACTTGTTTTCTTTGTGTTGTACAACATGGCGGGCGGTTTTGAAAATGGATGCAAGATTATTTCGGATTAAGCAAGTGAAGACCACGAACAAAAATTAGCAGAAGTTGTTTTCAAGTAAGAAGAACGGAGAAAACGGGACAGAAAGAGTTCTTGATAACTTGAAAATGCCTGAACTGGAAGAAATCTTCTTAACAGTTGCCATCGTGTCATCGCTACGAGAGACTCGCAGTTCTGCAAAATGTTTTCGCTATTATTATGCTTTGAGCAAGGGAAAGCGTTGAATTACTTCTCGGAGGGGCTGTCTTCACTGGAAGTAAGATAAAGAAGAAAAGAAGAAGCAGAGAGGAAAAGTAGCGTTTGTGACTTTGTAAATGCCTAAACTGGCAAAAATCCTCCAACCGAGCCAAGCGGTACGAGGCAGGTTTGTGTTAATTTTTTTTTCTTCAATTCATAAAACGAATATATTCCATGTTGCCGTGAGTCTGTTCAGTAATGAATCACAGAAGACGTCAAAATGTGGTAAAAACATCGATGACACACTCTCCTGCGACTCGTGTTCCACTTTTGTTTCTACTGACCTCATTTCATGGGCACCCAACGAGAATTTATATCAAAACCACTTAAACATAGCATTGTTAAACGTATTTTAGTATTAAACGGTAGATTTAGGCATATTTTTAACCCCCTAAAAATTTTTCATCTGTTCGAATTTCCTAGCTGAAAGTCCAGTGATCCCAAAATTATAGGGATCATAAGTTATCTTTCGAAAATTTCAGCCAGAAAAAAAGCTCCCGAAAATGCTAGGTGACCTTTTTAGGGTAAAAATCCGTTTAAAATGGGCAATTATACCATTTTTTGTAGATATTCAAAAATCCTAGGAGAGACAGGCAAGCAAGAAATTTTACAACAAATGTTCCGAAAATTCTAGATCTCAAATCGCCTTCCAAACAGATATTTTCCGAAAATTGACGTTGGGTGCCCCTGTCATTTTGATGTCATCTGTGATCTTTTACTAGGGAGCTTAAGCGACAACGAAGGCGACAGCAACTAGAACGGTAAAAAAGCAGTAGGTTCAGATTGGCAAAACAACAACTTTGCACGTGCATCACGCTTTTTTGTACATTTCTTTGCAGTCACTGCTCGACTAAAACGTGAAAATGCCTAATTTCACGTTTTGTGGAGAATGTGAACCAAGACAACTGCTTTCTTTTTCTTTTCTTGCACTTCGATGCGGCCTGTTAGATTCAACTCCAAAAAAATTCGCTAACATTCGACAAATGAAAGGAGATGGAGTAAGCGCAATAAATTTGGAAGCTGAGCAAATTCACTTAGTTTTAGTGACGTTTTTGTAGCCGTCCTCGTTTCCTAAGCTCTCTGCTAAACAGACGCACGCGATTTACGCATGGCAACATGATATCTATTGCTAAGGGCCGGGATAAGGGGAATGGCGACAGCTATCGCGTTTTCCCACTAAAATGACGCTGTTTCACGCGCGCGCACTAATTAGTATTGAGAAAATCTTTGTAGATCTGTGGGATACTGCTTTGTACATGTACCTGTATGCCTTCAGAACGAGGGATTTTAGCTGCGTATCCTTCTCTAGCCAGTCAAGATTCATTGACCACGGGATGTTGCCGGAGTACACCTTATGCACGTGACCCGGACCTGCAGCTGTTGAAGAGGATCCTGGGAAACCCAACACTTCCACTACCGCATAACAAGCGCATGTTAATTGTTTATAGATTCCAATTAGTGCGGGATCATTAATGATGCTTTGCGCGACAGTCTCGTTGTCATTTCCAAAGTTTTGAGACTTTATGACATGTCTTAACCAGAAATCCGGAAATTTGCTGGATAAAGAATCTATGTGATGCTTGTCC